GAGAACCTTCTTCGATATGCAGGTTTCATCACGTTTTTCTTCACCTCAAAGGTCATGGTAAATTTCAAATTATTTAAATTTCGCACATAAATTTCGAAAAACTCAAAGCCCGGAGTCAAAACCACAGCCTTAAAGGCTCAACTCACACTGGCGCACAGTCCAAGCGTCGCGACGCGTCATGTTTTTCGCCTGTAGCATATTCATCTCTATTTTCCCATTATTAAGGTACAAGTTTGTGTTATGCAAATATGGAGTCAAGCGTCGACGCGCGTCGCCAGGCATTGTAGTTGAAAAACAGGACGCGACGCGACGCTTCGACTCTGCGCCGGTGTGAGTTGCGCCTTTAAGGCCGTAGTTTAAACCAAATTATGTATAATATTAATTAATAATTAAATTGATTATTTTCAAACAAACCACACGATACAAATAAATATACGCGATTTAAATCCGAAAAAAATAGTATCATTTCCAATAGCTATACATAAACTTTAAATTGCTAATGAGTACAATAAAAAAATGTAAAGCTATTTATAAACAGTCTATTACATCATCGGGATTAGAAAGGAAGAAACCTAAAGGCGACCGGACTTCTATGAATCTAATTTAGTCTACCACATTGTATCTACAAGTATTACAGTTAACCAAATAAACGAACCGTCTATTGTCTGCGTGTTTTTAAAACAATAGTCGGTTTTTGTCGGTACTGGAATGTAGGCAGGCGAGGCAAAGGCTTGAGCTTCATTATGCCAGCCAGATTTATCATGGGCCCCGAGTTCCGAGAAGAGCTTGCGGCATGCCGAGCGCTCAGTGCCGACTGTTCCCGTGTGCTCGCGACAGTTATGTTCGCTATTCTTACGTAACGGGGGGAAAAAAGCCGCGATTTCAGATAAGCGGGAGATGCTTCGATAATTGTGTGCCTGTCTCAAGGGTTTTGTTTTTAGTGTTAATGAGTTTTAATTTTCTTTTTTTTTTCATCACTCTTTTTTCAACAACGAGAAGAACTAGACATTCGTTACAGAAATATGTACTGGCTGCTTGGCAGACAATCTACGCCATCTTTAAGCAATAAACTACTGTTTTACTTCACTAGCTTGGAAAGGCTTCATTTCGCATTAACAATCCGCGCGCGAAAACCTTTTCTCCACACCTAGCGTGAAAAACGTTTTTGAAATACGAACTTGACGATGGACTATGGTGCACCTATTTTTTTCTTTCCATGAAAAAGAAAACTTAAGGCACGTTTAACTACGCGATTTGTCGTACATTATTTATTGTAATATAAATGCGTTGGTATATTTTATTCTTATTATTGTTGACATTAAATTGACAACGATAACTAGTTTTGTTTATTAAAGTTGATTGTTGTAGTTCAACTGTTTTTCTTTCATCTATCATTTTCCTCGCTATAGTGAGGTGAATAGTTGTGTGTTTCGCTCGGCAGTAAAGTTGTTTTGCGTCTCATGCTTTGAAACCTAACTAATCTTAGCCTTCTTCGCTTACTCAGGTTTCATACTCGCGTCAAACAGCGACTTTGCAGCCTTGCTTAACAAATAACTATTAGTAATTAGCAGGTCCCAATACCTATGGTATACAGTTTTGGGCTGCAAAGACCAACATAAATATTATTCAACGTTTCTAAAATAAAGTACATAGGAACACTGTAAGTGCTCCTCCATCACGACTTCCAAAGACCGCCATCAGGACTTGGATATGGAATTCGTAGACAAGATAGCGCAGAAGCGCCGAAACCCACCAACGCAGGCTTAACCATCATGTGGACGTCGAGGCCATTTAGTTCCTCGACCACACATATATCATAAGATCTATAAAACGAACAAAACCATTTGAACTAGTGTAGATAATAAGAAAATGTATAGTGGGTGCATTCTTAGTTATTAGTCTTGTATTTAGCTAGATTGTAAGGTATTTATAACGTACTTTACTTGTGTGTTACAAATAAATGGGGAAAAAACATTCTTTTTTTCAAGTTGTCTAGCATGTAAATGTCAGTCACGTAAAATTTGCAATATATTTGCTCTATGTTGCAATAATTACTTGCGCAGTCGCAGCGAGTATGTTAATATTGAAGATGTTTCCACGCAAAATTTTGCAGCCTAAATAGTATGCGGTGAATCTGTATCAGTGGGTCAGACGACCTTGTATATCACCGCGGCGGCGAAGCAGTGCGCGCGCATGTCGGGCCACGCCCACCGCCGTTTGCGCACAATGCCGCACCGCCGCCGTGTGTGACGGGGAGGGGGCCTTAATTACAAAGTCAAAATATCAATCATTATCGGTGATTATCACATATTATCTTGGGAACGAGCTTAATATTAATAGCAAAAAGTCAAACGAGATGTCAGAATATAAGTATTCGTGTGGTCTTCAAATTTATGAGATAAATTTGCCATAAATAACTACGTACCATACTTTTTTAAAATTCAGAACTTGTGTGCATTATTGTAATCAAACTATCTACCTTTATAAAAAGTAATAACAGCTATTCCTAGTATTTATGTGGTCTGTGAGCTATCCTATGATGAATGTAATAACGATCCTACAAAGACGGGCGGTATTATTGTCCAACCCGGCAATCGGCGAAAGGTAAAAGATTTAAAAAATAATAACACGTCTTGAGTAAACACAGTAATTGTACAATCAAAAAATATTTAATTGCTATAAAATTGAAGTTTAAAGAATATATTGAATTAACGAAAACTTGCTTTCGATTTAGGTTAGGTCAACCTGTACAAAACATGTAGATATGCACACTGACCGGCACATTTAGAGGAACAAAAACTGAGAATATAAAATATGTAGTAACATTTATATTTAAATTATCTAACAATTAGACATGAATCAAGTTAACGTCTTTTAAAATCGACTATGTAAAACTTTCCTTAAACTTTATTGAAAAAAACGAAATTGAAACAAAATCCATTTTTTTTATTTTGTAATTAAGCAGAAAAGATTGAAAATTTTAGTAATAGTTTAACATTAATTGAAGTCTAATAAATAATCACACGACTTGAAACTGTAAGTTCTTTTCTTCTTTTTTTTTGTTATAGGCATTTATGTTACGCGATAACTTGAGTACCGATTTTGACGAATCTTTAGTTGTTGGAAAGAGAGTACATCAGGAGTGGTAATATTTAAATTTGAAGAAAACATTCCACCTCTAAGGGTGGTAAACCAGGTGATGAATTACTATTCAGGTCGGGTTTTTTAGTACTCTGTACTGAGATTATTTACTTTTCAAATAAAGTTTACTAAATTTAGAAGAACACACATTCCTTTCCTGTATCCTGGGCAACAAATAGTGAGAACTTTAAAATTAGGGAAATCCCTTCACCACGATGGTAAGCAATATCATGGATGGCATCGATACAACCAAAAGAAGACAAGAACACAAAAACAACCTTGAACCAGTCAACAAACCAGTATTAGTAGGAAATTAAAATAATAATATTTTTTATTATTATTTAATATTATATATTTAACATTTTATATTTATTATTAGAATTAAATTAGAAGATATATATATATATAAATATTTTACTTAGACAACCTTGGACAAATACAAAAAATAACAAATTATAATTACATATTATTCAAAATTACATCGTAGAGAAGCGAAACACGTGTCAAGTATATTTTTGGTGGTGGTTGTGATTATAGTTGCGTTAATGTTATTTATATATATTAATTTTACGTGGAGAGAAATTAAGTAAAAGAAATATTAAACTCAAGCACAGTTATTATGCACAATTTAACATTCACTGGCTTCGCCGAGTGGCAAAGTAATGTTACTTCTATTTTTGTTAATATGGATTTCCGTTACTTTTAACGCTTGTTTTTCGAATTAAAATTAAAATAAATGGTTAAAAAATACTGAGTAAAATAATATTGAAATCACGATTTTAACTTCAGTCAATAAATGAACTAAGTTATAGTAGTTCATGTACTCACCGCCGAAGCATTTAGCCCGCACCATAAATTAGAAAACAATGAATAAAAAAAATACAGTCGGTTAATATTTTCATTTTCAAATTAGATCAAAGTAAAAAGGTAAAATAGCTCAACAGTCTTTTGGAAAAAGTGTGTTTGTTATTTTGTGGTTTTCACTAGTGTTCCGCTAAATTTGCCGGTGTATGTACCAATTTTTTTAAAGTTGATAAAATAGACATTTTTCTGTAATTTTCTCTAAAATTGTTGCGAATGGTACAAAAACTGACTACAAAAGAGTAGCTAGTGGTGAAAATCATCGTCGCGAGCGCAGACCGGTTTTATTAACCTTTTGTTGTGAAATTTTAAGTATATTCCACACATGTCCATTGTAAGATAGTAACATATAATAAGTAAGATTTTTTCAATTTATTATACAATGTTATAGCCAAAAAGGCTGCGTGTTGACTTATGCACGAACAAATAAGTCTTCTTGATAATTTATAAACATTCTTATGATTTTTATTAATGAAGTCTTTGTTTCAAGCTCAATTTACATTGCCGCAAAACGGGATAGCAAACTTGTGTAACCATAGCATAATGGACTTGTGTAATGAATGCATCGTGAATTGTGTAACGTACTAACTAGGTACGTCCCAAAATCCAAATCGCGCGTCTACCGGGACACAGTCTCGGGAATTCCTACAAGTTCGTTTTGCCATGTACAATTCTTTCACTTCCATTCCGTTCCGCAGCATTGTAAATTGAACCTTAGTCTGAGTGAGTAAAGATATTTTGTGTCTTATCCAAAAATATATGAACAACAGTAATCAAGAAAAATGTTCAACCAGAAAGAACAGGACGAGCTGAGTTTTCGTGATCTACAAGTAACACCCCTTACTTTTAACCATGAAGCAAACAATCTGAACAAGAAGCACAAGACACGTGTAAATCACACGGTTTAAGTTTGTTGCTGTCAATATGTGTGACTGTCGCAGGGACGACTTCTTCCTGTTCTCCTGTTCTTGTCGAGTTGTGGAGTTTGATGGTGTTACCTGGTGTTGGGCGTGCGCGGCGGGGTGCGCGGGGTGTCGCGGGGGGTCGCGGGGGTCGGGCGCGCGCGCCGCGCTCATGCTCAGCGCCGCGACACGCGCCGCCCGCCGCCACCCGACTGCATCGCCGCTCCACTACCGCCCCACCACACTGCCACAAAAGCAAAATAATATTTATAATAAATTACAAAAATTTAAATTAAATTAATTAATTAATTTTAATTTCCATTTTTTTCAATTAATCAGAGTCGACACGCGAAGAAGAACAATAAATTTCTTTCTTCAGACAACAAACAGTCCAGTTTTGTTAGTAAACAATTTAGATTCTTAAAGGTTTGTCCAGTGGTTGAAAGTTGATTTTGAGTGCTTGTAAATGTCGTAAATTTTGAAAATGATTTTTTTCATAGATTCAATTTTGTTTTAATCAATGTTAAACTGTTACAATTTCAAAATTTTCAGCCGTTTTTGCTTTATCACAAAATCTAAAAAAATGGATTCTATTTAATTTCGATTGTTTTCAATAAATACTGAGTGAGGCTGTTACTAAGAGATATTAAAGATATTAATAAAAATGAAAGTAAATTAATTTGTTACTCCGCGAACCCAACGTGTTCAATGTCGCAGTAATATCAATTTAATTTACTTCCATTTTTGTTAACATATGGACTTCCGCAAAGGAGCACCAGAATCTATCAATTACTAAAAGATATTAATTTAATTGTTTATTTATGTCTAATTCTTATTCATTTAAATATAAACGTCACTTTATATTCTCACTGTTCATGTCCGGCTAGATGTGCCGGTGTATTATTATTACCTAGAATATAGTATGCACGATCGATCTGAAACGTAGACGTAGTGTTCCATCAACCACACAAAGCATCGAGATTACCTACAATAAGGCTGATTTACTTAATATGTTTTCAATTACGTGCGTAATTCTTGGCCTTACACGATTCTTTCCGTATACATAAGTAATCATGCCAGACAGTCACACCAATTAATGGTTCAAAGAAGGTCCCTGTACGATGCGTAATCCAATAAAACCAGACAAGAACCAATTTAGAAAGGTCCGTTAATTTTAGAGCACTTTTTAGTTTGTTTAGAGCCCTGAGTGCTAAACGCTCTGGGTAACCAAGGTTAAGGTAAGTAAGGTCCTCGATGTTCATACTGATGACTACTATCGTACGAAGTAGACTTTCATTTGAAATGTTATGTCTCTACATAAAACATTCTTAGCCTTCAAGTCACTCAGTGCCGGCTTTGCCTATGATCTGGCACAGACAGGGCTGGGCAGTATTTGAATTACTTGTGATTGAAATACGTATTTAAAATACAAATACGTATTTTGTATTTCAATTATTCCGGCAACGACATTTACACGTATATAAAGTATTCGTCTTGTATGAGAATATTAATAATAATTATACGTACTTCCTGCTCTGTAGTAAGGTTGTATTGATTGGTTTAACAGTTTTTTTACCTGGTAAAACTGAATAATTTAAAATTTCTTTTTCATGATATATATATTGTGGAAGGAAAAGACTTTGAAGGAAATGGATGGTTTCACATTTCGCGACAGGTATACTGATAAAGTATTTTGTAATTTGTATTTGTATTTTGTATTTTAAACACACTCCAAGAAAGTATTTTATATTTCAAATACACCTCAAGAAAGCGTTTGGTATTTCGTATTTTAAATACATATAAGGAAGTATTTTGTAATTTGTATTTCAATTAAGGCGTAGCATGTATTTTTCCCAGCCTAGGTACAGAGTATGCGAAGCGCCCGTATGCAAGGTCTTAGAGGACGCCACTCGCAACGCTTCCAAAGAGCCTGCGTAGCTCGCGGCGTAAGCGAAGCAAACGGGCTACTGCTTCCTCACATTTCTTTTCTATGCTAAGTATAGTAGAGAGGGAAATGAGCAGACTAGCCACTGGATGGAAGCTAGTCATCGTCGCTCATGGACGTCTGTAACATCAGATAAGCTGCCTATGCGTTGACAGCCTTTGAGAGCCCTGTTGACACGCTTTTTGAAGAACCCCATGTCATAGCGCAAACGAAATACTTCAGGAGGAAGATCTTTCCACACCTTGCAGGTTCAAGGAAGAAACAAACGTAATGCCAGCGTGGTCTTAGAATACCAGGCATCTATGATGTGGGGATGAGCTCTACTCCTTTGGCGGGAGGTGCAACGTTGGAAACAAGACGGTGGCGCCAGTTCGAAAAGTTCCTCTGAGCACTCCCCATTTTAAAGACGGTAGAACACACACAGAGAGCCAACGTCTCTCCGTAGACTAAGGGACTCCAAACCGTCTGTAAGTTTGAGAGCATCGACAATACGAACAGCCCTACGTTGAATGGAATCAAGTGGATCAAGCTGGTATTTGGGAGCTCCTGCCCTGAGATGCGAGTAATATTCCATGTGAAGCCGTACTTGTGGTTTATACACCAGAAGTCGGTGTCCCAGTGAGAAATATTGCTTAGCTCTATTGAGCACTCCGAGTATTTTTGACACCAGTTTGGCTTTGCTCTCCAAATGACCCCGGAACTGGACTTCATGGAACTGGACTCCAAGTATGCCAATACTCTCAGAGGTGGTAAGAGCAGTGCTCTGAAACTTGGCGCTAGAACAAATGGGTTTTTTTAGCGATGAACGCGCAGACTTGTGTCTTTGCGGGGTTAAATTGGACAAGACTCTGTCGGCCCCATTCCGAGACCTGCTCCAAAGAAGTCTCGATTTAGGACACAAGTTACAATCTGATTTATTCCACTTTGTGATATTTGTTGATATTTCTACGATCTTTACAGTGGGCATCACCGGCACTGTCATCCAACATCATTTTGTAGTTGCAACAGTTGCACCCGAATTTCCGATCACTGGGGGAATATCGCGTGCCTACTAGAGGGCCTGGTTATTGATTGCACTCGGGCGCTGCATGAGCTAACGCCGGGCCTGGTGTCACTAATAAAAGCCACCAGTTGTTACTTATATGGAAAAGCTGAAACTTTCTAGTTTATACGTTCAAAGCATAGGTTTAATTTTATATAACAAATTAAAATAAACTTACGTTTTTTTTCTTAAATTTATTTTACTTTATAATTTTTTTACTTTATTATCATTTATTTTACTTGCTCTCGTTAAACGTTTTACCTTTCCAGGGTCGATATAAGGCTTTGGTGTTTTGTGTGTGTAGTATGGTAGGACCAATTTGGGAAATGAAAAAGGAAATTAAATTGATTCTGATATGGATGTTCTAGGTACTGCACCTGAGTGAACTCGTTGCTCTGGTACACATAGATACAGGACAGTCCCTAATATGAGACTAGGTAATTAGTGTGATTGTCTGGTTCATTATTATTATCATCATCATCAATTCAAGGTCGTTTTCGCTATACACTATACGAGTAGAAATTGCATTAGTGCTAATGATCGTTTTTTCAAGCTTCAGCTTTCACAAAACACAAATTAGTTTACAAAACCTGTTGTTCAGTACGTACAAGTATGGAATGTAACATTTAAATTTATCGATAGTTTGAAGTCGAGTACGTGAACAAATGAATTAGAACCTTACTTAACAAACACTTCGACCGCCACAGAAACAAGAAAACCAGAAAAAGCCTAAAAATAAGTAGATTTCAATGTTCGCTACACGACCAAAATAAACGATCGATTAGAAAAATGTCGCGACGCACCGGGTCATATCTAAAACCGACCATAAATATCAATTACACGCGACTTTCACACAAAGAAAGTAAACATTTACAAACGAGAGAGGCTGGTAATAATTTATAAAGGTAATTCATATACAAATGGGCGGCAGGCTTGCGGCCGGAGGTTAATGGCGCACGCGCAGCCGTCGAAAGTTGTTTGTCGGGTGTGCTTAGTGCGATACGGATACGGGGCGACATCACAACGACACCGACGAATTGTCATTACGGTGGTCTTGCGTCGAGCTTAACATTATTACAACTATTACTACCGGTACCTAATTACTATGTGCCGGCTATACAATACAAACACTAAAGTATAAATTCTTGGCCCCAGAAATTAAAAAAACCAAATCAAGCGCCAACTCATACCATATTACCATTGACCTACCTGAAATGGACGTCGGGTTCTCACTTAAAAGTGTCCTATCCAAAAGAGAAATAAATCGAAAAAAGAGGAACAATCGCGTGTCAGTCTTCATTTGATAGACCGACAGCGCGCTTGTCAATCATACCGTACTGTATGATGAAATAAAAAATAATTATTGGTAGGCGTATACTGCAATAAATTGCATATATTTGTTTTTTCAAACAAACCAACGTTTCGGGCTCTTTGCAGAAAACATGGTCACGGCTGACTGAAAAACAAATATTTAGATTTAGATCAGATTTTTTTTTCATTTCTAAATGAAATTGTTTTTAAGTTAATATTTCTTTCTACTAATTTGGTTATATTTATCTATAATTAGGATAAGGAAAACTTTGAGAATTAAACCCCGACTAAAAAAGAGGGGACTTATAAGTTTGAAGCCTCTGTCTATACATGTCTCTGTCCGTGCATAGTAGTTACCAAACGGACGGACTGATCTCAAAACGGTTTTACTATTTCAACGCTGATTGTTCTGGATTGTTCTTAGCTATGTCTGATAAACATTGGTTCAGCTATTTAAAGATCGTTAGCTCTTTTCCCTGTCAGTGATAAAATAAATATTCATTTTACTTCCCCTTATCAGATCGACTTGAAGTTTGGTATGCATAGTGTTGGGTCATGGAAAATTTTCCATTTTGAAAAAAAAAATTATTTTCAGGAAAATAAATATTTTTCCGAATATTTTTCCAATATTTTTCTACATTTGACGTTGACACTTGTCAAAGGTTGAAGTTACTGAACGAAACCATTAAAAAGCCATTAAAAAGTTATTTATTCGATCTTGTGAAATCATTTTAAATTTCATTATTCTCTAAGTGGCTTTAGCTATACAAGTTTATTTTATAATTAAAACTAAATAAAACTTCAGATGTTTCTAAACGTAGAACATATGGGAATTCGAAATTTTATTTTTCCAATTTTTCCAATTTATGAGAATTCTTCACTATTTGAAAA